CCCCCCCCCCCCCCCGGTGTTTGCCACATAAGGAAACGTTACTCAGTCTCCTGTGGCTTCTCACCTCCATACCTGGAGGGACGTCGATCCAGTTTCGGTGGGCCAGGCTTCAGTTGGATGTGCCGGGTTGTTTACACAAGCCGCCACTGACAGGTCTATTTCTTCGTCGATCTGCCAGCCTTTGTTCGTGAGGAAGTCCCTCGCCATACGAAGCTCCTGCGGAACGACAGGCACCCATCATTTTCCGCAAGTTTCTTAGACACTAAACACACTCTCCTTCGACGTTTCGCCAAGATCATTTCCTCCAGCGAATTCGAGCCTGCAGTTTTGGTTTGCATGTCAAAGGAATTCGAGCCTACAGTTTTGATTTGCATGTCGAAGGGTTTGTCTTAGGTTTTCGCGCAGCCTCGCGGTTACGGGCAGTCAAACCGATAAATCCATCTCCGAGGTCCCGGGTTGTGCACATGTAAGGGGGACATGAAAGCGTCAACTACAGAGTTCACTACCCTGATGACGGCTACATCATGGAATAATAGCTACGGTCCAGTTACGGACAACAACCGGCATGACCCACACTGCCATCAACATATATCGCAGCAGTGCTCGTCAGTTGCGTGGGGATTTAGACTATGCAAACTGCAAACTAAAACTCTAAAAGAGACGTGTGCATACCTGTTGGCTGCCGACAATGTTCACGGGCTGTGCGAAGGGAGGGGGCAACTCCAAGAGCCTGGGCTCCAGCTCGTCGATGGGGATGGACGTTGATCCCTCGAGGTGCTCCCGACGAAAGTCCGCCCTAGGCCGAAGGTCGAGCACCACCCTGCGGGAGCCCGACTTGCGCCGCCCCACATACTCCTGGAACTCTGATGGCTTCGCGAAAGGATCAGGACTCGCTCCTGCTGCTCCGACGGATGGTACTGTCCGCGTCTGAGACGTAGTCGACTCGCCTACTGCTGTTCCCGCTACGCTCGCCATGGTGAAGCTCGTCGCCCCAGCTCCGGCTCTGGACGCTGCGGCTACGGTTGTGTACGAGGTGGCGGCGGTGGGGGGCGGCCGGATAATGTTGCTCTTTTCAATGCTTGGCATTCCTCTTGGCTGCGAAGGAACCAAAAAGCCACATACCATGCCCATTTGCATCTGCAGAAGAAGTTGCAGGAGGAGCGAGAGGCACCAGTGCAGCAGCGTCGGCGCGCTCCTTGCCGCACCCATCTCGGGAACACGAAAAAGGGTGGGTGTGCAGCGAGCACGCTTCCCGGGCACAGGCGGGATGTGATGGCCAAGGCAGGGGGGAGGCCGGTTTGCTGGCTGCGGTCCTGCTCAGGTTCTTCCTGCGGCAGCCCGTGCCCTGTTCTTGTCGTTGCACGCCTTGAGAGCCTTAACCTGAAACACAGAAGGGGCGATGGGGTCCGACGGGAACAGGCACAGCAGCAGGGGCGTCGAATACGTCAAACCAACTATGCGAGCGACCTCACTCTGAGTAGATGCCACCGCGGCGTTCGCGCAGCTGCCGAGGATCCTGCGGTGAACCGTAACTTATGTTGAACATCGTTGCTGCTGTGCTCTTGCAGCACCACTGCCGGGGTTGCCACATGTGTCGTCTACACAAAACAGGCAAACCAGTACGACTTCTGCCCGGTAGTTGCGCCTGGACTGCTGTCGCACCTGCTCTTGGCACCGTCGCCAGTCTCGATCGTGCTCTCCGAGGCAGTCCTCCAGAAGGTAGTAGATGGACGAGCAACCAGACTTATCGATGGCCTCTTCGATGTCCACCTCCCCACCAAAGTCACTCTTCGACCCCTGGTGCTGATCGGGAATGACTGAAGGAGGCACAGGGGGGCGGCGAGAAACCTCAGAGCCCATCAGCTAACGTATGGGGTGTGGTGCAACACGATCGTACGGCGGCGCGGCCGCCTCTGGCACCAGGGAAAACGGGAAAACGGTTGCGGGGGCTACGCAAACAGGATGTTCATGTACCCTGGGCGGACAGCTGCAGGGCAGACCACGAACCTGCTAGCAGGGCGCACTCCCCAGACAGCGGTCAAGCAGAGAGGGCACTGACAGCAAGGGAGCGCATGTCGTGGTGTGTGGTGGTTTTTGTGATCCATAGATCCTAAGGGAGAAGCCTCGGATGGTCGTTCGCTGCTCAGCAGACCAGCAGCCATGGCGTCGCAGCAACTGTACAGCTACCTGGGGAGGGCGGCGCTGTGGGAGCGTGTTTCATCCAAGGTGGGGACGCCAGGGCGGCAGGTCTTTCTCAGCAAGAACCTTTACTATAGCACGCCTGGCTCTAGTAGCTCCTCAGGTAGCCGGCCATGAACCTTGTTGTGGTATGTATCACTTTCCGCTTGCGCAATGGGCAGATCTAAGTTGATGAGCTTTCGCTTCTATCCGAAAGTACGTACACCAACACTTGCATATCGTCTCTCTCAGGGGAAAGCTGAAAGCTGAGAGGCCTTGCGGTCGAATGAATCTTCGACACCGTCAATCTCCCACATATACAACTCTCGTCGCCCCGGTGTTCTAGTTGGTAACCTCGCAGCCTACTAAGGGCCAGGTCATGGGTTCGAGTCCCAGCAGAGTGAGTTTTGTTCTCACTAAATAAATCCTGGTCTAGGATGAAGGGGACGCGCTGCAAAGCTCGTTGTTAGTAAACCATAATCGACTTCATAAGTCGCGAAGGAAGGGATTGCTGTACCCTTCTCGCGATAAAAATACCCCAGGCAGGAACCGCAGGAAGGGGTCCAGCCCCCCCCCTCCTATGTGACCCCGGTTGGGTCGTCTAGCTGGTAGAACTGGAGGATGGGGGCCAGAGGGGCAGACGACAGAGTCCAATGATGGGAAAAAAAAAAATATATATATATATATACACATATATAAGTGAGCTGTGATCTGATATGCATATGAGTTGCTGTAGTGGCCCTCCAAAGCACTCGCGATACCAATATGCATCGCATCCGATCGCACGGTGACATTGCCTGATGTATGATAGGCTATCTCCAAATTTCCAGTTGTGGAAGTGCTTCAGAGTATTTTGGTTCCGGCGCGCAATAGGTAAGGTATGCATATGCATTGAAGCGCCAGCAACGGGTCTGCAACTAACTGATGACACCCAGACCAGGCCGCCTTGTAGATAGGACAGGCGGCCTGTTTTCCTTCACTCTTCAGCCGAATCATGACGTGGATTTCTGGCACGTGTAGCTTTCCGTACGCATACATTTTTCTTTTTTGTCTCCCATCATTGGAATCTGTCGTCTGCCCCACTGGCCCCTCTCCTCCACTTCTAACAGCTAGACGACCCAACCGGGGTCACATAGGAAGGGGGGTTAGACCCCCTCCTGCGATTCCTGCCTGAGATATTTTCATCGCGAGAAGGGTACAGCAATCTTCCCTCGCGACTTCTGAAGTCGATCATGTTTACTAACATCGAGCTTTGCAGCGTGTCGCTTCCAACGGAAACCAGGATTTAATCAGCGAGAAAAATCTCACTCTGTCGAGACTCGAACCCATGACCTGGCCCTCAACAGGCTGCGAGGCTACCCTCTAGACCACCGGGGCGACCCGTTGCATACATATGAATATGTGGCGGTGTTATTTTTGATTTCACGACCACGACTGGCACTTACTGCTGTCACTCCTTCGAAGTGTTGTACTCAGCAAACACTACATGTGGACGGCAAGCTTGATAGATCTCACGGATCTAACTTTGTTGGATTGTCACTGACGACAAATAGAAAAGACAAGCACCCCCCGTACATAGACTACGCGACAACCAAAAGAACCAACAACCTCTACTTTTCTTTTTTGTGCCCGGCGGCATCTGCAATTGACACCGATGGTCTGTCGCAATCAACTGACCGTTCTTGCACATGGTTCGCACAGCCTTAAAGGAAATCTAGCCTTCTCTCCTTATTCATCCAAGTTTTGCTAAAAAAAAATAATGTTTGCTAATATATATTTTTTTGATTCGCCCAGGCGGCAAGCAGCAAGTACGAACGAAGTGCAAAGCAGCTTGTGTTGATTTGGTTGGTATCCACGTGTCTGCCAAACAAATCGAGTGCTGCTGTGCAGCGTTTTGTTGCATTACCCCCCCTCTTTCGGCACGTCCTATGTACATGTAGCAGCAACGCACAGCTCTTTCTTCCGGAAGGTGTGCAGGCTAAACGCACGCACATGAGCTTTGGTTCACGTTGCATTTGATGTTGTTTTGCTCGCTCGGACGATTGTCTACAAATCCACTGTTCGCAAAATCCTAGAGTTTGAAAAGTGCATTCTAACATGATTGTACGACGCGAGCAGGTTACCACCGACTGTAGGTGTGTAGCAAACCACGCGCCTCGCTCTCTTCGCCCTTATGCCTCGTTCGTGAGATATTGTCGAAAATGTATCCTGCAAAATACGAGCCTAGCTTCGACGTTTTCCGATGTCAAGTCGGAGCGGCTGCGAGAATCTCAAACGATTGGGAAACATGATTGTGGCGTGGCTCACGGGAATGCGTACGTCGGTGTTTCGTTATCAGAAGTAAATTGCGAGGTTTCCTTTCTGAACGTTCGTGTCAAGCCTCCCGCGGGTGACGCAACATGGCATGCCCTGAAGGGGGTGTGCATTGACTGGAACGCAGCGCTCGCTCGCATTCCTTCAAACCCATCGCGCATGAATCCCACCTCGAGGCCTCGAGCGGGCAACAACTTGCCAGCGAAAATGCATGCATGCAAATGGTGCTGGTTCGTCGACTTTTCTCTTGCGATTTCAGAGTTCCATTGAATGAGTCATGTGTGTCCGAAACAACACCCCACACGCAACGCGAACATGATCGTATTCCGTGGGTGCATGCGCTCAGACTTGTTGTCTACAGCAGCGTATTGTTGTGCCCGCTGCGAATTGTCAAAGAGCATAGATGCTGCTGGAATCATCAGCGAATGAATGAATGTGGAGGTGGTGAATAACTGTCAGCCCAAGAGGTACTTGTGATGTTTATCTCGGTACTTACTGCTGTACGCTTCCACTGCAAACTCCCGGGCTGGACTCTAATTTGAAGCCGGGTACCACAAACAGAGGCGATGGCGCAAGCAAGATGAGCTATAGAAAAGTGGGGGCATATTCCGTGTGATTAGCTTTCCCGCTACAACTGTTGTCCTTGATAGCGGGAGACATGGTTGACACGGCTGGGGGTTGTCAATTGGTTTCAATGTTGATTCGCCAGGCTTTGTCGTCGCGGAACGCATCCCCGCGAAAGACAGGCAATTTTCGAGACTTTCGGTGTCGAGCACTCGCGCCACCGGATACCTGCCGAGCTCCGGGCATGCGCGTTGATGTACCGACGAGCCTCCTTGCGTGCCCCTGAGAAAAGGAAGCACGATAAAGAACTCGCAGAGGCGAGAGGAAGAAATGCCAAAGGACGAAAAGAGACCAAATTTCACGCACGTTTCCATTTTCAGAGTCTGTGGCAGCTACATACAAGCAATTTCTCTTCTACGGTTTGATACTACACTCTGGTATTATTTCATCATTTCCTTCCAAGGAGAACTCGACGGGAAGGCACAGCCAGTGCAGTTCCGGTGCTCAACGTTTTACACCTCTGTATCACTACCGCTGCTGCTGCTGCTACGGTCTTTTTTTCTGCTGGGCAAGAGGTCTTCACGTTTTGACCGAACCCGTGACTCCGACTGCTGTCTCTTGCCAGCTTGCCAGAGCATATGAACGAACAAAACACTTTTACCGTACAATATTTTTCCGTTCATGCCCGCAGGCAGCACTCCGATCAAAACGGACCACAACCCTCTGCGATCCATATTCGCTACGCTGTATCCAACGTAAGAAGTACACCGACCTGGGTCCCCACAGCTGCTTCCGCGCTTTCTCTTGCTTCTCTTGAAACCAAATGTACGACACGTCCGGAGAACTGTGTTTGTAGTAGGCGAGTGTGTTTGATTTGCAGCAGCTTGAGATTGACATAGTCTTTTTGGGCGCCCCATGCCCATGCGTGTTTCCTCTCACTATCGCCCGCGGCCAGCTCGCGGACAACGGGACAGAGCTGGCCCCGTGCGACGCTCGAGCGTTGAAGGACCTCTGCGCGGGAGTGACCTGGATGCAAAGGGTACCGCCGGCCGTGCTGGCGAGCTACCGCGCACTATACGTGGTTCTGAGGGGGCACGCCGCGGCCGCCGAGGACGAGATAAATCGGTGTGTCGCTCGTTTGTGTTGTGCACACGTCTCTGTGATGCGGCGTGATGACTGGGGTCATGGTTTTCTTCGAGTTTTTGGGTTTGTGTTTTTGATACATGATGCTTGCGACAACGCTGCCTCTCGTCGGCTATCTGTCTCCGAGGGTTCTAACTGTTTGTTCGCTGTTGCACCTTCTGCTCTATGCATACATACAGTGTGTTCACAGTGCTTGCAACTATTGCCGCTTCTCGTACGCCTCTTTTTCTGGCGAGAGTTCTATCTGGTTTATTTGATCGCTTTCCCCGTCGTGACGGCGGCGGCGCTCGCTGGCGATTGATCACAAAGGGACATCATGCGGACGGTCCGGGGCACGACCGGCCTCCTTCTCGACCTGAGCTCGGAGGACTCGAGGAGCGACTTCGCCGGGTCGATCAACCGCGTCCTTAACGCGCTCGCCCACGTGGACGACATGGGCTACTGCCAGGGTCAGAACTACGTGGTGGACGTGATGATGAAGGCCGGTCTCCCCGAGAGGGAGACGTTCTGCCTCTTCCTCTACCTCTTGCGGCAGGGCCACTTCCACGGCATGTACCGGAAGGAGGTGGCGATGCTGGCGGGCTACATGGACAAGCTCGAGGGGCAGCTGAGGGGCCGGCTTCCCGACCTCGCCGCGCACTTCGAGGCGGAGCACTACCCGCCGCCCCTCTACGCCCTGGAGTGGATCACGACCTTCTTTGGGCTCGCCGCCCAGCCGCTGGTGTCCCTGGTCGCGCTTGACCTCTTCCTGGCCGGCGCTCGGAACCCGGTGCTGAGGCTGTGCGTGTCTCTCCTGGGAGAGATGGAGCAGGGGCTGCTGGGTCTCGACCAGGAGGGGCTGCTCAAGGACTTCCGGTCCAGGGCGGTCGGGGTCGACGCCGAAGGGGTGATCGTGCGAGCGCTGAGCGACGGCGGCAAACGCGGCGGCGGCAAACGCGGCGGCGAGGGGGGCAGCTCGAGCGGGGGAGAGGGAGTGGAGGCGAAGCGGTCGAGCCAAGGCGAGGTCGCCGACGCCGGGGAGCTGGGTTGGTCCACAGGGCCTGACTATTTACTCGTGCTTCGTTCCCGCCACTGCCAGACCTTGGGCCTGATGGAGCTGAGGGAAGAGGCGAAGAGCGGCCTGATCGTGGAGCACTCTTCGCTACAGGTGAACAGCGGAACTAGGGGGGGGGGGGGGGGGGGGGG